GCCGTGTCAGATTACAGCCCACTAGTTAGAACAGACTGATGCTGTCTGGCACCATTGCGCACAGAGCTTTTGGATCTATGTGACTGAGTCTAATATTGACAATGAATTTTTAGCTTAGACAAATACTGGACTCACCGAGTCTGTTGTCAGCAAAACTGGATTTGCTACAGTTTGTTACAATCACCTGTATAATTGTAGCATGCTTCGGTCTAAACTTCTGACAGCAACGCAGGCCATGCTAAGAACAGTTAAAGCCCACTCAGAAATCTGGGAAAACTGAACAAACTGCACCATACTCAGCAGCATTACAAGCTGCTCTGTCCTTTCTGAGTTGCTCCAGCAGCGCTCTGGTGCTGCTAGGTGTCTTGGCTCTCTGCTGCCATTCGGCTATCTGCTCCTGCTCTCCAGTTCCTCCAGCTTTTCGTCAGAGTGCCACAAAGTACATGATTACATGCTACCCTGCTACATCAAGGGAGACTTCTTAAGCAGATTCCCCGCCCTTGCTTCCCAGCCTATAATCTGTACCTCTCAGGGCAGCAAGTCATTGCCCAAAGTTAAGGTAACAACATACATGGTCATGCTTCCTTGGCCCAATATTTTAAACACAGTTCCAATTATAAAATTTCCACTAATTAATGGTGAGCTACTTAAATAAGAGAAGTCTTGACACAAATAAACATATTTCAAAGCCTCTCATGGGTCCTTTTTTGTTCAACTCTCCTCCACTCCGCAATTCAAATCACCATGCATCCTTTTATGTAAGAGGCTGCTTCTCCTTTTTAGGCCTATCCAGAACTTTCTGTAATAGGTTACTTGTGGTTTCTCAATGTTAAGATACACTTACTTACTCTTCTTCCTAGCCTATGTGCCAAAGCCCCAAATTATGCTGACTTTAGTCTAGTGGTAGGGGTTGGCTGCCCCACTGGCTACATTTGCCCTTTTTCTGATGTGTACAGTACCATAACAGTTTCCTAAGTACTGCTGTTCTCTTGAAGTTGGTACAAGACATCTCTGGTCTGGTACAGACAAAACTGGCTGTACCGAATCAAGTCAAAGAGTTGTGTACCCACGACCATTATGGATAGCAGCCATCATGAGCTGCCTAGGGGAGCAGAGTGAGAACCGAGGCAAGCACACAGTACAGCACACTCAGCTTCTGAGCTTCGGCCATTTCGGACTCTCTGAGCCAGAGGTTACAATTGCATCATCTTACTGAATAAGCAGACCATGAATTTGCCCAATTAATTTTAGGTCAATGACACCACTTTTGGGCCTCTGCTACACAATCCATGGCAGCATGTGATATATTTTAATGAATTGCTGTCTGAATATCCTGCAAGAAAAATCCTGTCCAGAACCAGAAGCTTCTCCCCACTGAACATATCACTTATATGGTAATGCACCACTATGACCATTCAATATTAATAACCTCAATGGCTCTCTGCAGGTCTCATCAAGAGTCCTTAACAGGCTGGTAACAGATCAAAAATATGGGTTATAACAAGTTTGTTTGTCCTCACCCAAAGCTGATGGATACATATTTTATCTAGCTTTGCAGTGAGGCAATCAAAGTAGGCTGATAGTCCACATTAAGAAACCTGCTCAGTGGAAGTTACTCTTAGCTGATCTTTTTGATATTGTGTGGTATCAGAGTAACTGTAATTTCTTCCCCTAGTTAATACAGTACTACAGGCCACAGGGGTAGAGCCTTTGGCACACTGTACTGTTCAGCAGAAATTCTTTGTGTAAGGACTTTGTATGATCTCAAAAGCCTGACATTGTTTTGTCTTCCATAGCTTTAGCAGAGCTGTTTCTGCATTACAGCATTTTCTGATGGAAATTACTCCCCTAGCTTCTTTGAAAGTCTTTAGATTCAAAGTGATATGAGTCACCACTTCATGGTACACCAACATTAAAATTTAATTTGACAGCCCAGCTGGTTCAGCTGTTATTTAGTTACAAGTTAATCAGTAGCCTTCCATAACTCTTCCTTGATATGTCAATATGTAGTTCTAGTGATCATTCAGATCTTCCAGTTTTCAGTTTAAAGTCTAAATGCACAAATCTTACAAATCACAGGGAACAAAATAAAGTTGGTTGGGTTTTTTTTTCCAATGGGCTTAACTCATTCAAAAGCTTAAAATGCTACTGCTACTTCAGAAACTAGTAACTAGCTTGGTTTTTGTTGCAATGCCTGCTTTCTAAAGCAAAAGGTTGAAGAGAAGCATAAGAGCAAACCAGATACAGATTAGGTATGAGGGCCAAAGGACAAACGAGTTACAGAGGTCACTGTCCTTTTGAAAACCAATTATAGGTCATGGAACCCTTAAAGCATACTCACCCCTTCTTTTTCAAATCAGCGACACAATGCTCTAGGAGTCTGAAGTAGTCAGGATCACTTAATTTGCATTGCAACAGATACCAGAGCAAACCTGTGCCTATGCCTGCCCTGTCTGCCCCCCCCGCAAAAGACGATCATGCCATGGTGTACACAAACATAGTACCCCAGTCCCTACTTACCTAGGGAAATAAAAAACAAGAAACACCATGCATCTGTGCAAAACAAAAAACTCTGTGATGTTCTCTAGGGGCTGTGACCAAACCCAAGATCCTTAGTGCTATGCCTTAGTTGCATGTGTTTTATGTCATCAACAACATGAAACGTTGTTTGGTTTTGGAGACAAAAAGCATCCCCAAACTAAATATTGGGTAATTTTGAGGCAAACTCATAATAAAAAAAAAAAGTGCCTTTATTTGGATACGTAAAGTTGGGTACCTATTTCATGCTGCACACAGATACAGAGAACACATTTATGCTCCAAGTTCCTAACGCATTTAGTCTTGTTTCTGGAATTTTCTCAAACAAAATTGAAAGATGCAGCCTTAAATAACCAAGATTTTTAGTCAAGGAAACTATTTCTGTACATACATCAGAGGAAAGAGAATGTTAACACACTACTTCTCACTAATTATTTCTGACAGAAGCTACTTCTTTCTCATCTCTTCTGCAATTTTAATCCTCATCTTCTTAGCACTGTGAAGGCCAGTAAACAAAGCCTGAACAAACCCAACACACCAATACTCTTTCATGTCAGAGCTCAAAAAGGCCAAAGCCAACCTTGCTGATCCCATTCTAACAAGACTTGCACTGCTTTATCGTTCTCACATTTAAGATTCTCACATGACTCTCATTAGCACAGTAACAAATACACATTTACCCTAACAACCTGCCTTTGAAATAAAGACCCACCATTTTACAAAGGTAAAATACAGAGATCAAACCGACTAGTAAGCCTGCCCAGCTGTTTAATTGCTCCCCCCTCACCCCACCCAGGGTACAGGCTAGCCTTTCCCAAGTCTGTCAACTCCTCTTTGCCATCAGTTTCTTCTAAGATGGGGACAGTCCCAGTCCTTGGCCAAGGTATAGGCTTACAAATACTACAGACTCCACCTTTCCAAATAAATTCTTCTTAGTGCTGCTCATGTTCAGCCTGTCTGACCAGTAGATCCATACCCTCCCTACCCGCTAAGGCTAACAACTGATCACAGCCATGCAATCAGGACTAGCTGAGCTCAGGGGCAAGGAAAAGACTTTTCTGACAAAACCACCAACAAACCCATTTAATGGCACTCTGCCCTACCATCCAAAACTGACCCAAAACTTAAGATTTACAAGATAAGTGAAATTAGTTATGAATAACCAATTGCTTTTCCATCATGGACAGAGAACATGATATGCTGCAAAAATTACAGAATTAGGCTGCTCTTCAAATTATTATAAATGCCACACACTTTCTTTGACCTTGTTTAAACGGTTCTGCTGTCTGACAAATAATTTCCACCTACATCTGGCTACAAGTCAACATCATTACCCTACCTTAAACCACCAAAAGGCAGAATTTACATTTTTTTTCCACTTGCTAACAGCTTGAATTGGAACTGTGGGAGGCAGTCAGTTTGAGACAGTGAAAAATATGTACTTCCTTGCACGAAGCATCGCCCAGGCTGAGCTGCAGCTCTCCATTATTCAGTAGCAATTCAGGAAGAAGTATGGTTTACAGTTTCCATACAACTTACTTCCAAGCAAGCACCTGGGACCATGCTGATGACCCTGTCCTTTATGGTAGGCTTCCAAAGGCCAGCCCCAAACCCATCTTGCATTCCACTCCACAGATCAAAGGGAAGTGCATGCAGTGAGTAAAGCAACTGGATACTCACCTTTTTGTTGGGGATGCCCTGTAGCTGACCTCACAGCAAAACTAGGGGCTCCTAGAGCACATGACTGTACCTTTGCTGTTGAAGAATAGTTATTAGGCTCACCATGTCTTAGATAAAGCTGCAGGAATGAAAGAATATAGTGGTTTGGACATCTTCATAAAAGCTAAAGTGGGTGGGAAGGGCCACTGATTATCCTGCAGGCACAGAGATGGCAGCCAAAGAACTGGAAATCACTTAAGGGAAAGCGGGTCTCATATGGGAAACGGAACAAAACTGATAGTCTAGTAGAGCCTTTTCAGTGTCCATGTGACTCTCTAACCTTCATTATCAGATTGGTTATTAATTCAGGAAGAGTTCACCCAGTGTTAAGTTTCATACCTCTCTATAGTTAGTAACTCCACTGCAAGTTTCTAGATAAACATCGTTGTTCATCATCTTATCAGAATTCACTCATTTTTCATACGGAAAAGATAAAAAAAGTGCATCTTCCTTTCTTTAACAGCAGTATGTTGCAACCAAGAGGTTGTTTGTTGGGTTGTGGGTTTTTTCGGGTTTTTTTGGTTTTTTTTTTTGTTTTGGTTTGGTTTTTTTTTTTTTTAAACACACTGCAACTAGTTGATAGTTAAGTGGTTCCAAGGTGACTGGTGAGAAGGAAAACAGCTGTTTTCCTAGTGTAATAAAAACAAATACAATGAAGTCAAACATCGACAATCTATATTTCTTCTAAAAATAGTATACATTATAAAAGAAGATATAAGAACAAACTGAACACTCAGAGCCAGTATCTTGTAAACAGATATAAAACGAAAAAAAAGTGTGTACATCTCAATTCATGCCATAGAAAGAGGAAAAAAATATTTCAAGTATACTAATGAGTAATCCAGTGTGTGATGAAGATTAAGGCTAACATTTTCAAACTTCAGTGTTGAATTTATACAGAATCCACATATGAACTCTCAGAAGCAGCTTTATTTCCATCAGACACGAATCCTTGCAGCTGACATGGACTTTTCAAGAGCTTCAAGGGATCAGAATTCATTTCCACAAGACAACAGTGTTTCTTCAAAATTTTACAAGTTTTAGCCAGAAAACAGGGAGAAGGGGTAGATTTCAGTTGAACATCTTGACTCAAATGCTGCTGCATCATTTTGTGTTCCCACTATGAGTCTTTGGTGAGGGCTCCAGTTCCTCGCTGAACTGGATCTACCAAAGCAGAGCATACTATAATACCACACACAGAGCTGTGGTATGTTATGGGAGAGAAAAACTGTTGGCATACATGCCAGCACTCATTACTCAGAACAACTTAACATACAGACATAGGATCCTAAATCATGCATATAGTAGGACCAAGGTATAGGGATTATGTTGGACAAGCTGCGTTATGAGCTATTTGCATGTACGCAGTAGATGCCTCTGTAGGAATTAAAAATAGCACACATCCCAGCCACAGCAATAGCCCACAAAGCTGATTCTAGAGCTCCTAACTAAAGACAGGAGATTATTTGCAAAAGTTAGAGTTGACAGACATCTATTGGGAAACCCCTGTTCCTAGAAGAGGAACACGAAACATTTGAACTGCAGCCCCAACAAGATACAGCAGTATGATTTCCTCTTTAAAGTAGGCTAGAAAACTTACAGTTCTAACGAGTAGCAGCTTTTTTGAGGAATGGTTAAATAAAAGTTATTTAGGTCAGTCTTTTCACCTTGAAACTAGATCTTCAGCTTCTTGAAGTCACTAAAATAAAGCTAATTTATGTCACCCCAGAACTAGTGCCTGACATTGAAAATGTTAGTCTTAGTTCTAGCCCCTCTGTAACCATATCACTCAGTATCTATAATATAGTATTACTATAGGTCCCTTTTTATTCTCTTACAGTAAGAAACTCAGTACACAGCATTAGACTTCCCTCAGCTTTGCTACTAATTCTTAGTCATTTCTACTCAAGAAAAGTAAACAGTGCATCAACCTGTACCCCATTCTAGTTTTGCCCCACATCTTGACATTCTGTTCACCAGTGCTTTGGTATATACACCTATGTACATATTAGTATTGTCTGAGATGCTTTTAGGAAGTGTAACGACTACAAGCATTTTTAAGTCACGACATTTTTGTGTGTGGCATTCTAGCTGTAAGTACTTTATACATTGTATTGCATTACTGATTTTTCAGGAGTTTTTTTTAAAACATTAGAATATACAAGAATGGTAGGAAAAAGACCAATTTCTAAAATATTTAAAATGTAAACAGTGTCATTCAGTGTATCAAAGTTCTTTGAGAAGCATCATCTAAACCACTTTAAGTGCTTTAATAATGATCCACCTGGACTGCAGATGAATTCACCTGTTAATTTCCCATTTGAGTGGCTTTAATCAGTACATAAAATTGTGCTAGCTTCACACAAGTGTGCAACTACTTTGTGTGTGACAGAACATAGGCCAACCCACAGGACTAAAGAAAACCACAGCCTGTGAAAAGGGAAGTTATACTCAATACTAAGGATATACTGTGGGTGAGGCATTAGCCATCACCTCACACTGCAAAGCAAGAGGCATTTGAGATAAACAAATAAGTGCACTCAGAGTGTATACTATCTTCAAAACTTTGGAAAGTAATTTTAAGTGTAAAGCATTTTAATTGGTTTTTTTGGCCCTAGCGGTTATGGGCTGGAAAGTCTCTCTGAATTGCACGATTTCTTCTATAGCAAATATATGCCCTATGATGTAGAAATATGCAAATTATTTTGTTTAAAATCTATTTTTGTTTATAAAAGAGATTTAAGGCTTAATTTTTTCTGAATGTGATGTTGAAATACTGAATTAATTGTAACATCCAAATCCAAACCGCTGCTTGGAACACTGAGGTGTTCCTGTGCCAAACAGTGTCATAAAGATGAAAAAAAAAATTTAAAAAAAAAAAAAGGAAGGAAAAAAAAACCACCCAAACCCCCTCATCTTCTATTAGGTAGAACATACAAAATTGCAGAAGGGCTGCCAGAAAGGCCAAGAGACTTGCCTTCTAATTGTGGCTTTCCCAATAGCAACAGCACACAATGGCATGGTTCACAACTGCCGCAGTAAAACCAGTGGTCTGGCTTTTTCATTCCTCTTCTGCTTAGGAAGCCTACGAACAGCAGCAAAGAAACTGAAGGCATTTGTAGGCTCAAGAGCACAACCTGCATTATTCCATCCATTTTTGGAAGGTTATCTTTGCAACCCTGAGGGCACAGAACATATGTATTTGTATACAGTATGTAAAGCTTACGCAGGATACAAACCACCAGTACAGGCCCACTCTTTCTTGCAAGGGAAGCTTCCCATATACTAGTGGCAGCTAGTCCCAGCATTTAACACATACAGACTAACAACTTTCCTGACCTAGAAGTCATTCTGGTATGTTCTGTTCCCTCTTTTGGGCCATTCCTCCTCCACCCATTTCAGCAGCACTTTCACAACGTCAATTCTCTTATAAAATTTACAGAGATCAATCAGCTGCTCCACAGTCCTGTCGCTATTCCGTAGCAAGAACTCCAAGGTGGGACTCTGGGGCTTCTGTTCAAGGAAACACAATTCATCATAAGTCATCCCCCACTTGCTTGCTAAATTTCTCCAGTTTTTCACTGTTGGGTGGCAGGGATCTAGCTTTAGCCTCACTGTGTACAACAAGTCCTCATCATCGAGCATGTCACTGATGGTTGGTGCACGGAATAAGCACAAGGAGCAGGTATCATTCTCCTTGCAGGTTTTCTTGAGATCTGCAATGAAAACCATTACATGGGGCGAAGTTAGGATCTACTGCTGTGGTTTTACTGGGAACAAAAAGTTAAAAGCACAAAGGGTTGAAGAGTATTATGTTCCTGTGAATTGTTTCTGAAAAGTCAGAATAGTAACATGTAATGCCTTACCTTATGAAGTACTCAAGAAATTAACTTTCTAAGACTTCTCTCTTCACTATGCTCAGTGGCTATAATCAAAAGAATAGTAATTTTGGGAGTACGACATTTATACTTTTGTAGAAAAGGCATACAATTCAATCCAGTGTGTGAGCTGGGATAGTCCCCTTTTTTGGTTTTGGGAACTATGTTGCTTCCTTGAATCTACCATAACCCCTGACTACATCACCAATAGGATTATGTGCATGTTGTATACATATGCTGTAGAATGAAGGAAAAGGTTTTGCACTTCTGAGCTGCTGCCTTCATAACAACATGAAATATTTGCATCAGGAGAATCTCTGCTGACAGCTGCAAACACAACTAACATCTAGTATTTTAACACAATGGAAAAGTGGAAATGTTCCTTCACTTTGTAAAGGCTCTTACAATAAAAGCTGTCCCTATTCTACCAAGCATTTTAAATGTACATTATGGAAAGGAGTAAAGTGCATACTACTCCATGTGTGAGAAAAATAAAAATACCAAGTTGCTGGAAATAGGTGGTGATATGTTCCAAAATCTTCATCAAACACTGGAAATTGCCACACACAACAGTCAGTATCTCCCCAGCAATGTGTTGCTATCAGACTGTATTATATATTATAACCCATAAAAGCATGTAGAAACCAGTTTGAGTCATACTTCTAGTTAAATACTAATGCTAAGACCTTTAACATTGCAGTGGTGTAGGGCATTGTTTGAGCATTTTGGCTGCAGATATGACCTTAACTCTCCCTGCTCCTTTTTGAAGGCAGGGAGAATTTGCTATGTCCAAAGAGTAATAGATAATGGATGCAGCCTAGAAGCACTTTCTAAAGCTTCTGCCCTCCAGCCTCATTGTACAGCTTGAAATAGGGAAGTAACTGGTCCTATTTGGGATAAAACTCTTTCAAAAGGGGACACTACAATAAGAAAATTGATATTTATCAAAAGAGTGATTAAAAACAACAACAGAAAAGTGAGAGCAACAGAAAAAAAACAATAAACACAACAACAGAAAATTTGCAAGTGCTGGATTAGTGCTGGTCTGAGAGACCTGAACTGTATCTCTGGTAAAGGGCAAATCTGGTAGTCAGTGCCACCTACTCATACAGACAACAGCATTTGTTAAGGTTTTTTGTTTGGTGATTTGTTTTGGTTTTGGGTTGTTTTTTTTTTTTCTTCATTTGGAGTAATCATTGCTAGCTTGTGTGACAATTCCAGAAAGGCCATCAAATTGTGATGGCTTTATTCTGAATATTAGTGCTGATAAAAGAAACTTAGGCTTCTGCACACACTTTGGGTTTTGTTTTTAAGGGAAGAACAGGCCATTGTTATTTTTATAACATTGCTCATTGGTTTGATTTTTTTTTAGCAGGCCAAAGACAACTTTTGAAGTTTTCAACAAGTTAGGACATGCAGCAACAACACTGCTGCAGACACAAACTTCATACAAATGCTTAGATTCCCTGTTAAGGAGAAACATGTTCTGGTGACATCTTTGCTCACAGGTATTCCACGGGCCTTGCAGCTGTTCTCTACAGAGATACATATATGAACTATTCTGTTCTTCTCGTGCACCCTAAACTCTTGCTGAAGTGAGACAAAATTTGCTTGCTTCACTCGTGCCAAGATTTAATTATACAAAGAAGGCAAAATTAATGTAATCCAATCAAAGTTCTGGCTGAGCTCAAAGGGCAGGAGAGCACCCTATCTGAATTTCCATCTTACTTTGCTTTGCAAGGATGCCAGAGTTTTATTCTCCAATAGAAGCAGGGAAAAAGGGGTAAAGAAAACACAGGGCACAGTTAAAGGTAAACAAAACTAAACCAACCTGCTTCTTGTGCTATACTGTGTGCAGACTATCAAAAGCATTACAAAGAATCCTGCTTTCCTGAGATGCCCTGTGTTAGATACTGATGAGCAAATTATGACCTGCCCACCTAACTGCATGATCCTAACGGTGCATGATTGGACAACCTTCTTTACTAACAGGAGATTCTCAGTTGTTCACTGTTTGATTAACAGGGCTGTATATCATCCACACACACTCCAGCCCCAGCTGAGCTCATCTAGTTACGGGGTAAGCCCCCACAGCCCACTGCTAGCTTTTGTTCTCTCCAGGTAGCTGTTTACAGATTTCTTCCAAAGGTGGAAGTACATGGAAAACCCAACTTACACACTTTGTATGGCCTGTGTTATTGACCACCACTCCTTTTAGAACAAAGAGGAAGCTGTAAATGACACTGATAATTAAATAAGCTCCACAAGCATTGACTACCCAGGCAGTTCTTGGTTATGACAAATAGCAGTTTTTCATAAAGTACTTTCAAAGAAAACCTAGGAATAAAAAATATAGAACAGTAAAGCTGACATATTACCTGAAAGTGATTCATCACTATGATTTTGTGTGTCTTTGTCTTCTGGCTACAAAGCAGAAAACAAATATAAACCAAAACAATGTATTTGAACACTAGAATAACTATTTGGCTAATTTACAAGTGGCAGAAGATTACTTAGAAGAATTCTGAGTTACTTGTAAAGTCAGTCAGGGAATCTATCTAGTTTTGAGGAATTACTGACTATCTACAGTCTCTTCAGGCAGCATTTTCACGCTTTGGCTCACAAAACTGCCCTGTTGGTTGTATCCACTGAACAATGTTACCTTTATTAATTATATGCATCTTTCAAATAATTTGTTCTTAATCCTTCAACAGCTGTTCAACAATTCATATGGCTCGATTAAAAAGATTTTTCAGATGCTTCGTAAGAAGATAATTTTGCCTGTAAATGCAGCAGTAAGTTTCATTGATCTAGGAAAAATGGATGAGCTTTTTTTATTAATTTCTTTACATATATAGGAAGCTTTTCTAGACAACAGGTGGACTTGAACATTTCTTCTGGTTCACATCTAACCTTCCTCCTGTTTGAAGTAAACATCCCCTCAGTGGCTTTTTGTCTGCTAATTAAACATAATGAAATTACTTAGCAGCTTGAGACTGCAACGCACATTGTAACATTTCAATTCCACTATTTAGAAAGCAACATCTAAAAACTGGAAGGACAGCACCTTAATCCTAGAACTGTGGGGAAACTGCAGCTGTGCTTACTTTAACTACACGGGTGTGGAGCCAGATGAAATAGCTTTCTTCTGCTGAGGATTTAAAGATGAAAGCAGAAGGGGATTTTCCCCCTTAGATAGCTGCAATAAAGTACTCTTGATTTTTTGTATTGCCTCATTCTTCCAAAACTATCACAGCAGGCTTCTTAACATTTTGCAGATTGTGCGTGTAAACACAAGTTGACTAGGTAACAATGTAGTGTAATAAAATACTCTATTCCTACCTGCTACACCTTCTTTACTAAGAAATCCAGTAAAAATAGAATATAGGCAGTTTCAGTTGATGCAGTGAACATGCACACATTCACAGTCCAATTATAAAGAAGGTAAACTATCTCCAAAATATTTAATGATTTTGTTCGGAAAAGAAAAATTCACACACTGTTTTCAGCATTTCTTTATTCCCTGAAAACTTTAAGATCACACATGCAACATCAATCCACCCCACAAAAGGTCTGTTCTCTGCTCAAGAGAGATCTAACGCTGCACATGCCATTTGCAACAGAATAATCTTTGCTATTATCTTCTCATAGTTTACTTTTCTACTGGCACCATGTAAGCTTTCTCTGGACAACTTGGTCTTCATGGCAACATGTGAGCAACCAAAGTTTAAGAAAAATTGTATCTGGAGCTCCTGATTATAGTCATTGTCTCAATTCCCACAAATGCCTTAAAAATTTAAGGTAGTACAGTATTACTGAGCCCTGAGAAGCAAATCCCCAGAAGGGTAACTCACTGGGAAAATGAGGAGCTGCCCACTGCAGCTCAGCCTCCCCAGAGATCTGTTTCAAAAGAAAAAACAAGCAAATAAAAACAAAAGGGGGGGGGGGGGTAGTGGCTACTGTTCACTTAGTTTGCAATAGCTAAGTTTCTGTCCTGAGCTTCAGTAACATTTCCCACACTTTATGAATTCGTGACAGTTCAAACCTTATTGTGACAGTTAATACCTAAATGCCTTTAAGAGATGTAATTATTATATAAAATAATAACAAGAGTGGCTAGTACTGCAAAAAGTACAAAGAAACAGGGATACTTACCTGTGCCATACATCTGTTTTCAAAATTCATGTTTTTACTGATCAGTTATTACCTACTTTTATCAAGTCAGATGCACTGAAGTTTATTCAAGATCATTCTCTTGTAATGTAATTGCACTAAGATAATGTAGTGCTACTGCCCATGAAATGAAAGTATTAAGCAAGAATATTTTTTGCCCACAACAAAAATCCAATCAACCTGTATAAGCCTTATCAAAGCCATAAACCTATGCACAGTCTGAAGATAAGCAGAAAGTTTTTCAGCTCTGTAGAATCATTAACACCCTAATACATAGAAATATCTTTATAGTGATTCTAAGCTGGTAATAAATGCTCTCTTCTTGATGATGGGAATGAGACCATTACCTCCATCATCTGTGAAATGCATACCAAACCCATGTTTGTTTCTGATGAAATTCAGCTGGGACTCTGGCATAAGGAACTCCTTTTAATTCTTCGTCTCGCTGGAAAATGCTCATTCATTTCTCTTCTCCAAGTTTTCTGCTCAACCCAAAGAGAATCAATTTGAAATTCAGCAAATAACATTCACTCGAAAGATGGTAACCATGGAGCATGGGGGTCACTCAGCATTGCCCACCCTATGGCAACGTAGGATTTCACAAACAGTGGAGAGTGTTTCCGCTATGGGAAGAGCAGTGTCACAGTGTCAAAGCAGAATAGGCAAATACCTCCTAAGGGCAAAGCACAAGGAGTCCAAAACCTAGGATTCTTTACTTCTTAAATTATTCTCTGCCCTGGCTCTATTTTCAGCAGGAAAAGAGGGAGAACATGCATGACAAACCCTTAACTCTTTGTCAGCTCTTCTTCAGAGCATCTACACACTAATCAAAACCTAGTTAAACTACAAAATACACATTAATGATTAAATAACCTTTATTTTGCTCTTCTCCACAAAAGCTCACTTTGTTGAACTCTTGAAAAGAGAGCCTATTTCTGGTCTGTTTTACTGAGTAATTCCGTGCTCTCCAGATACAGTCTGAAAATATATTTCTTTGTTAACGTACTTATTCAATCAATAGCAATAACTTAGTTCACATTCAGGTATCATTTTTCTTACCTGTTGGATTAGGCCAGAATCCGACGTAAGTGTCTTGATGTTCACAGATGCAATTTCCAATGTAACTTGATCTGTTAGGTATTCCTCATCTAAGACAAAGACTGTGAAACACTGGTCTTCCACCCAAATACAAATTTAAATAGTAAAGCTATCAAGCATAAACTACAGGTGTCTAGCATACAAAATTTAACTCCATATCACCATCAGCCACTGGGAAATGCTGGATTAAAAGCCCAAAATATTAAATTGGCAGACTGCAACAATCATGCAGAGCATGATTATGCGAAGAAAAATAATCCTTGCAGAGATCAGATATCAGTGCAGCAATTGTTTTTTAAACAAATACCACACTATTTTTGAAGCAAGAGTCATGTTCTTTCAGAAGGCTGATAAGAGAACACATCAATGTATTGATATACAAATACCAAACCAATACATCAATATAGGCTGAAGACGACTGTTGCAAGTCAATATAGAATCATAGAATCACTTTGGTTGGAAAAGACCTTTAAGATCATCAAGTCCAACCGTTAACCTAACACTGTCATCCCACCACTAAACCATGTCCCTAAGCACCTCATCTATCCTTCCTTTAAAT